TGGATCCCTCTCACCCTCGTCGTCGCTGTCGACGTGAGTGCGTGAATTTGAGGAGTTACGACGCGTAGAGTGCGTGGCGATGCAGTTTACGGCCGCAGTTCCCAGGTGGTTGTGCTGGTTGCGGAAGCGAAAGACGCACTTGCCCTTGTATCGAGCTGACGGACGCATGGCCCAGAAGCAGACGTTGCCCGTGCTGTCACTGGATAGAAGCAGCGGAAACGGGTCGAGGAAATGCAGACAGAGCAAGCCACTCACATGACCGATACATGTGGTGTCCAGACGTCCGAATTCATAGTCCCAGACTTGCAGAGAGCAGTCCGATGACCCGGACGCTAAGAGGGACAGGTGGTACGAAAAGCTGAGTGCTGTGATATCTGTCGAGTGTCCGCCGACAAGCCTCCGAAGCAGTACGCCGCGTTCCGAGTCTCGTTCGTCGTGGATATTGATGGAACAGTCCCACGACACACTGATGACGGCCATGTGCTCCGCGCAATAACACAACTTAGTGACCTCAGCAGTGTGGGCTCGATTGCCAAAGTCTGGGTATGCAAATGACTTCATGTGTGAGCCGTTCAGGTAGTCGAATACGTGGATGTTGCCCCCTGCGGTTGAAGACGATACGATGAGAACAAAGTGTGATCCATTTACAGCCAGGACCCAACGTACCGTGGTCGCCGATGATAAATTTGCGCTCTCGAAAGTCCAAGCAGAGCGTCGTCAGGTCCGAAGAACTCAAATCTCTGGGGGGGCGACCAAAAGCGTGAGTGATTGGAGAAGCACTACACGACGAAACACTGCACCTACCTGTACACTCGAATGAGCTTACCAAGACGCGCATCCCAGATTTTGACATCCCTTCCTGCAGCCGTGATGAACGAGAGAGACGTTGGATTGTACAGCGCACTGAACACGGGGTGATCGTCGGTCAGTTCGGGATTTTCCAGCTTCTCGTAGTCGAACTTGATCAGCTTCAGGAGAGCGACACCGTGAAACAGGAAGAGATTAACCTACTCTGACATGATCAAAAGATTGTAAATGGACGTGCCTTTTTGCCTGCTGCAACGATCCGCTTCGCCGAGGTGATGGATACAATGTTCTTGACGTCGCCCATATTCTCGGCTGTGAACGTCTGCATGCAGGCAAAGTTACGAATATCCCAGACCTTGAAGACTCCGTCTACATCGGCCGTGATGATCTGGGGGGGGTCGGGAATGATTTCCACCCCACACAGACTATTATTGTGACCATGCAACCGAAGAATAAGTTGATCAACGTAGGGATTCCACACCAGAGCGTCGAAATCAAACCCCGCAGACACAAGGAAGCGATACTCAGGTGAATAGGCAAGCGATCGCACACCCTTGGCGTGTCCATCAAGCTGCTGTTTGTGCTTCCCTGTGTGTACGTCCCATAAACGAATCGTTCGATCCATACTAGCGGAGGCTAAAGACTCGAGTGTGGGCAACTGAACAATATCGTTTCTCACTTAGCAAACCCTCTGGAGCGTTCAAGGACGGAGCAACGGAGTACGAACCGTGAGGAGATCAAGCACAATATCATCGTGGGATCGAGCTAATACCCGCCCGTGCACCTCGCCACTCATGTGATGTTTTTCTTCCATTCTCTCAGCGTCCCACGCGTAGACGATGCCGCTTACCCCGGCTGAAAAGAGCACGGAGGACTCTGGATACCATTTGAGGCAGTTCTGTGAGGCCGGAGTATGGCAGCTTTTCATGAGCCTCAATGTGGTGTCGTCATAGAAGCGGAACTGCAGGTCGGAAGACGCCACGATGTATTGATTGAGCTGTGGCAAAGTACAGGTCTGTGTGCTAAGCAGTGGAAAGTTCACCCTTTTGATAAATAAAAGAGGGCAACCCACCTTAGGCAAATGCTCGGCACACTGTACAAACCCTTCGGGGGACTTGATTGTACGCATGAGCTCGCAGTTGACGTTGTAGATCTTGAGATATGGACTGCAACTTTCGACAAGCGCCATAAGATCGTTGGACGGGAAGTAATAAATATGGTCGATGAACGTGCTGTGCTTTGAAGCGTCTTCCCATTGCACGTGGTGGTATTGCTGGATGGAGTTTGGCTGGTGGTTCTTGACTGTCAGCCCCGTATCCACAATAAAAGACGTGAATTCTTCCCACTCCATCGAGCCGTCACCGTTGATATCAATCTGTGCAAACAGTTCGCACAGATTCGCGACGAGCTGCGACTCGGACAGATCGTGGAGCCGAGAGTTCTCATCGGTGTGAGCGCTGCTCTGCACAAAGCGCATCATGACGTAGACGAACTCGGCAATGGACAAGCCTTGATCCTTGCGCTCGAACTCGGTACGCAGTGTGCTCACCTGCCAATTGCAGTTGGTAGTATCAATAGCACTTTACACTGTGAGCGGGGTGTTGGTGGTTTTAACTCACTTTTTCCATGTCCATCATCATCATAATGTCCATGGTGAAACCTTTCTCGGGATCGTGCTCGTAGGGCCGACCATTGGCCCGCTGCTTGAAGCTGCGTGCACAGTATCGCTGCGTCAGAAGTGCAATAGAAGGCTGGAATTGATATACTGTCGTACAATTGATTTGTCAATTCGGTCAAGAAGGCAGGAGAAATCTGCTTGTCGCGGTCGAGTGCATCCTCATCCATGCTATGAAATCCCAAAAGGTTGCAACCTTTTGAATTTCTACTAGTTTATGAAACCTTACCGCAGGGGTTTTGTGGACAACTCATTAAAAAGCCCATTTTAAATCAGCCAATAAAATACGTCTTAAACATGAGGTAATTGTGACACTTCTTTTATAAACCACACATGATCTACTGTGAAAATTCAATTATAAGGATCAAGTTTTTATAGATTTCACCTTCAATTTTTGCTGACGGCGTGATGGCGCGACCAGGACGCCTACGCAAGGCAAAGTGCAGCGGCTCAAAGTTAGAGCAGTACAAACGGGCTGCTGTAACTTATGAGTATAAGTTTCACGCTCTGCAATATTTAGGTACGTCAACTATGGCGGGTGTGGTAGCAGAATTTTTCCTAACTAGCAATTCTAACTCGAAACGACGGAAGGTATACGCCTGGAAGAAGCTGGGAGTTGTTAAAGAGACCAAGATTGCTAGTGACTCTCGTTAACATCAGCATAGTCGCACCCTCGGCATGAGTGCTACGCTGTTAGCGGAGGTAGAGGAGCAATTGGTTCGGTGGATAAATGTGACGGGGTCACACAGCACCTTGCGCTAGAGGAAGTTATCGTCCGAGGGTATACAAACTCTCAGTGAACGGCAGTTTACAGGTCCCCTCAGAGAGCGAAGTCACCAAATTAAGGTAGAATGTAAACTGAGTATATTTATAGGTAGATAAAGCTTGGGTTTAATACAAACTACAAGTCACCTATAGAAATGCAATGCCGTTAACCAATGGTTGGCTTTGAACGACCTTGGTACTTTGTACCAAATATCCCGAAGTATGACGTGTCATACTCCTGAAGTGTGAAGTGTCGCACTTCATGTAACCAGGGTACACTTAGGGATACGTACTTCGTACATCCTTCCCCACTTAGGTTCGGTTTACCGACCAATCAGAATGAAGAGGTGTTCGTCACAAACTCTCATTCTCAAAGTCGAAAAGCATCGACTTGGCCGCGCGAGCGCGGCGGAGGCTCACTTTACAGTTAGAGCCTCGAGCAGCAGTCTGTGCGCTCTTCTTCTAAGTCTCCACTTCGACCGTTTATCATGCCTCGTTGCACAGCAAAGAGTGGTGCTAAGACACGCTCCAAGGCTGCTGCCGGTAAGGCGCAAGCCAAGAGCACTAAGCCTCACGGCAAAGGCTCGGCACTCAAGGACGCTACTCAGGTGGCCTCCGAGGCGATCGGTTCCTCGGGTGACGCGGCTGTGGGCAAGCGAGCAAGCAAGCGCCGCAGTCCGTCGCCCTCGGCCTCAGACAATTGTCCGAACCCTCGGTTCGTGGAACGTGAGTTCAACTCTGGCAGTGAGGACGAAGCCAAGTCCGAGAGCACGCACGATGCCCCTGCGGGCTCTGTGGGAGGGCATAGCCCAGTGCCCAGTGAGCACAAGGATGACAGCTTGCAGTCGCTCGCTAGTGATCAATGTGATCACAGTCCCAGGACGTCTGTGCGCTCTGAGAGTCCGGCCGTCAAGGCTAAGGGCACTGCCAAAGCTGGTGGCGATGAGGAATTAAATCCTCGCAAACGTCTCTCGCTTGCCGAGGGTCTTGCGCGTGCAAAGGCCTCTAAAGCCGAAGGCGCCAAGCCCTCAAAGAAGCGTACAGTCTCTAAGTCTCCACTCCGCGAGGAGAAGGGGACTCAACACTCCTATCAGAGTATCTTCGACTCCTCGGATGAAGAGGAGGAGAAAGAGGAAGAAGAGGAGGAGGAGGGTGCTGTTGCTGAGTACCGGGAGGTCTCGAATGACCTCGACCAGCAGCAGGAGGAATTTCAAGCTGCCCAGCGTGTGCGTGGGGGTTCGGTGGTGGCACCCGTCAGCCAGGGAGCTGCCATCAACTTAAGAGGGTATTGGCATCCCGAGGAGAGCTCTGAGGCTGACCTCTTCTTAGAGCTTCTCGTCGCTCCTCGTGGCCTTGTGGGCGGCCACACTTCTAGGGGCATCTACGAACGGGCCCTTGTTCAGAAAGAACAGTTGTTCGTTGACAACTTGGAGGCTGCTCGGTGTGTGCTTCTCGCGCCACACCGCATCCCTCTTAAGAACTTCACGACTTGTCGTAAGAAGCCCGAGACCCGGGGTGGTCTCTATCCTCTTTGGGGATACCCCTGGGTTATGCCCGAGAACTGTCCCACGTGGAGTTTTTGTGAGGACATGTTCTGGGCATGGGTGGAGTCGCTTAAGTACTCACCCACGGAGTTACGGGAACTCCATGAAGATCAGCTGTTGTCCCGCATCCTGGACCAGCGTGATCTTCGTGTGAGGTTTGCCCACTTGATCAGCAAGCGCATGCTGCCAAGGAACATCCTGAAGCGCGCGGCTTCTAGCGCTCACGATGGGCGCGGGTACGGAATGTATTCATTGTCCGTACCCCGTTCAGGCAAGAAGCCCCGGACACTTCCCAATTTACCGGCTAGGGCGAGCGACTCTTCAGGACTCGAGCTAGCGGAACAAGACACAAAGCATCGGGGGGGGGGCGGTACCAGGAAGGCCGTGAAACCCCCCGACATACGATCTTCAAGTGTGCTGGAGAGGCTTTCCCAGTGAGAGAGAATGGATGGAAAGTTTGAAGGGCAGCATGACCATGAAGGACTAGTGGCGTCACTGGCCCAGGGTGCGGGAGAAGGGGCAGAGACACGCAAGAAGGAGACAACTGATAAGCAAGGCGGTTGGTTGACTGCGGGTGCCAAGCAGTCAAATGTGAGAGGCGGAACCACCTAAGAGAAGGGAAGCGGGCGAAACGGTGTACAGCAGCAACCTTAAAGGCCCTCGTCATGGCGAGACCCAGGTCAAACAAAAGGCAGCGGGGGTGCACCGGGAACCAGAAACACCGCCAGAGAACACACGAGCAGGGGAGATGGAAAGGCAGTTTTCAACCAGCTTAAATTGTACTTGATGCAAAATGCACCATCGGCGTACATACTGCAAACCGCGACAAGGTTAGCAGCTCTAGCAAAGGAACGACGATTCCAGCGACACAAGGCGACAGTCCTGCAATCGACGACCGATGAGCTTCCAACGGACAGTCAACTCAGGGCAAGATGGCAGGACGTGCCAACGGCCTGGCAGAAGGAGAAATACGAGAATCTGACAAGTTATTGGGGATGTTGGGAACATTGAACATTGCAGAAGATTCTCTCAACTACTGGAAAAGTGGATAATCATCGGAACGTTAGGGCAATCTGAGGTGAAAACCAGACTTCAATTTTGTAATATTCAAGGAGAGCAAGAGAGCAAACAAGCATGTCTTAGTGGGACAGAACAGGCCGTCTCGTACTTGGGAGCCATCACCCGAGGGAAGCGCACAGCAACAGAAGAACAAAACATACAGGAGAGGGAGCGAATGCTGGAGTTGTGCACGCGTCCAGTGGTAAGGCTTACGGAGCTGCGAACTAGAACGAAAGAAGAAGATCGGGCTCTAGTGATGATCATGAACCATGAACTAGAGATCCCTAGACCACCTACCTTCCTAGTGCAAACAATGGACGCAGAGGAATTAGCAGTCTTTACTGATCTATTCCACGCCATGGAATATCCGTTGTATACACGCTTGGCTCCTGGTCAAAAATTTGGGAAAGATATGCCACGAGAGGTGATGCTACGCTTCATCAAAGCAGGAGAGGAAGCAGCACCGAACCAAAAACAAGAGGTACAGGAGTTTACGCGAACAATGTCCAGAATTACGCTGGACGTGGACAAAAGAATAATCACTGTCACCTTCAAAGGGAAACAGGCGGCATCAAAATGGATTGGATGGAACATGCCGTTCGGATCCAAATTACTGCCTCTAACCGATTACAAAGGTCAGCGTGAGCGAGCCAAGAAGACACATGAAGCAATCGCAATGGACTTCTACGAGTTCACGATGGCGGTCCGACGTGGGGCGGTTTCCTCTAGAGACATGCACTGGATCCTAACCCAAGGGCTTGGGCTGGATGTACAGGAGCTGAAGCATCCGGACGACAGCACAGGAGGCACCAACGACAAGGAATGGGTGGTCACGGTCAAGAGGCCAAGTTGTCCGGAGAACATCCGCAACATATCCTTAGTATCAATCGGAGCAGTAGAGTTGACTGTGCATCATCACTGGATTAACGTCAACTGGCCGTGTCGCACGTGTTTTTCACCGGACCACCCAACAAAATACTGCAAGGGAGGGGTGATATGTGACACTTCTTGCATTCGGCTCAATGGAAAGGTGCCTACACGACAACCTATGGGAACTGTAGCACTAGGCGAAGGGGATATGCCCACCACCATCGCCCAGCTTCTGGCCCTATTACAGAAAAACAAAATCGAAGTTAAAACCGACGACGCGCCAGTGTTTAGCCCCAAACACACCGGCAGAGTCAAATTGCAGACCAAGAGACGGATAGCAACAACGGACAAACCGTCTTTGCCTGGTGAATGGGAGGAGCACAGGCAACCCCCGAACCAGGCTTCGATGCAGTCGAAGCAGCATAATACCAACGAAGGGCGTGACGACGGAGACGAGAAGCAGAACGAGGATGTCAACGCATCATACACCAGCAAAGAAGATGACGATACAACAACACCGGCACGAGATGGAAGGAAGATGGAAGCAGGAATCAAGTATCCAGAACAAGCCAGCGTACAAACCCATGAGCAAACAGAGGACATACTCATGAAAGAAGACATGTTTGAATTCCAAGCGGCAGAGCAGGCGGAATCAAGCAACACGGACGAGGAAGGCAGTGCCCCGTTAGGACACGAACAACAGGCCGAACGTGGCCGATCTCCAACAAAACGAATTATAACACGAGGAAAGCCTGGACGGAATGTTGGTAAGCTAAAGGGTGACTGAAAGGTGCCCAAAGAGCCACAAAAAGCCGCATCAACGTCGCCCAAGAGAAGAGCGCCGGAAGCCTGGGAAAATGACCCCATGCCGCTAAAAGGGGGAAGGAAGACGGCTTCAACACGAGCAGATAAGCAACCAAGGAAAGCTCGCTCATCGTCGCCGACCAAACACAAACGAAGATCCCATCGGAGGGCAGACTTAGCGGCCACGCAGCGATATATGCACCAGTTTCTCTCAACAACGAGCGGACAACAAATCGACAAATTTGGTAAGCCAGACCTCGGCGAAAGTGGGGGGCACACTCAGAACTCCGAAACAACAGTTCAGGAGCAACATGACAGTATTATGGAAGACACGTCTTGTGGTGGCGGGGAGTGCGAATTCGTTCGAGTCAAACCGCCAGTAGACTTCGGCGAATCTCTGGACACATGGTTGGGGATATTAGGAGGAACACTAATTGATGTGGCTGCCAACGGACATTGTGGCTGGCTGGCTTGCTACGCTTCACTCTATAATGTCCAGGCGGGACTTCTCCAACCATCGCCAGAGGTAATTGCAGCAGCCAACCTGCTTAAGAAAGACATACTCAATGGAATGCTGGCAACTCTGAAAGATGAAATGACGCTACACCCAGAAGAGCTCAACGTAGAACTGGAGGCTAGCGGTATCCGATCTTTAGGAAATGCTGAACAGAGCAGGCGTTATTGCGCATTGCGAATCATTACGCAGCGCAACGGAACAAATCGGTGAACTCAGTCGTGCCAACGCACTTCTGGGTCAGACCAGCACATATCAAAGGGATGGCGATACACGCGCGAGAAACCATATACGTACTGGATGTGGGGGCTGACAACAGAGCAAGGATGCAGGCCTATGCGTACGAGAGCATAGAAGTGCGAGGAGACGACGCTTTTGATTCAGGCAGAGTGTACACTATACAGACAAGACAAGCCGTGCAGTTAATGCAGGACATCGTAGGCGCCGGCATTATCCCGCCTGTGATGGTGCTTAGATGGAGAGACACTGGAAACCATTATCAAGCGATCGTGTATGACAAGGAAAGGTTTGACTGCTACAACACCCAGTTGAAAATACTGGCCCTCAGACGAAATGACATCCTATGCCAGCACGGATGGCCTGCACTGGACTACATTCAATATGATGCAGAGAGGACGGCCACTGCGGCGGCCAGAGAACTACGGGCAATCCACATAGCCGCCAAACAGGGAGACCACCAAGGGGATGACAGCGTGGGTACTTCTCAGGCAGCAGACAGTGGCAAGAAAGGGGCCACAAAACACGCAGAGAACACCGACATGCAACACGTCCAGGGAGCCGGTCACGACTACGGAGTAGCAGTTGCCATTGGAAAGGAAGAAACGACCACAACCGGTGGCTTATGGGCGAGCAAGTA